CCCCAAAACCCCAAAACCCCAAAACCCCAAAACCCCAAAACCCCAAAATATGATATCTAAGTTGACTGAAGAGATAAATTATTTTACATAAAATAAGGACATATGGAGAGCCAACTCTGGAGCAATGCAAGCTCTGGCCGCCATTCTCATGGTAACTATTCATGTCTTAACTTGATGGCTTTAATGTTCTTAGAATTGTCTTAAATATGTTTAAATAGAAAGGGATGAGCAGGATAAATTAAGCCAAATAAACTACCATTTCGAACTTGATCAATCAGAAAAGATGTCTCAAAATAAGCATTCCACTAGCCAGATAGATGATCTTGCCTTTTTGAAATTGGGAGATTGTCAGGATAACATCCTTGATTGCCCGAGAAATGATCAGAACAGTCAAGAGCCAGGAGCCCAATCTATTGGAGAAGACCTCAAGACCAACTTTGCTGACATTGTGACCCTCAACAATCTTCACCTTGATAATGAGAGTCAGAATGGGGAATATGGAGACATCAAAAAGCCAATTCTTTCCAACAAAGAAAGAGCCAGAAGGGCCAGACAAAGGAAGAAGAAATACTATGAAGCCCTGGAGAGCAGAGTCGCCTATCTTGAGAAAAAGTGCCTTGAATTATCCAAAGATAGAGACTTCTACAAGAACAAGCTTGAACTCTATGATGCCACTGGAAGCCCAGCTGGTGACCAGTCAGACTTCAGCAACATGACAACAAAGCTCATTGAGAAGCTGGAAGACTATATTCTCGATTGAGAGGAAGGTGGAGTAGATCTCGGAAAAATTCTAACTGAACTTGGCAACAAGTATGGCCCATTTGGATCAGAGAAAATCAAGAGACTAGACAAACAATTCACCAACTTAGTTGATAGCATTTTGAGTGGAGGAAACTTCAAGCTAGAGTATTACCTGACCAAATAACGGAGCTCCAAGCAGCTATGAAGAGCTCACCGATTTCAGGAAGTTGAAGAAGTACCAACAACACGAGAAGTATCCGGACTCTCACATTCGAGAGTACCTTGATGCCAAGAATGCTTGATTCAAGGAAAAATGCAATTGGGACCACTACCTCAACAACGAACTTCCGATCAGTAGAAAGCTCTGAGAAGCTCTCAAACAAGCCCTAGGCAAACTTTTCGCTGTAAAAGATGAAATCTATGTCCTTCTGATGAAATACGACCTCTACAAAGAGCTATATCCCAAGTTCTGGAGAACTAACGAAGGCCTGGTCACCGTCCTACGTAGCATCAAACACTGAAACAATGACTTATCTTACCAAGAAGCACTTGGAGTTGAAACCACGACTTCAGAAGTTGAAGTCGAGCTTGATGTACCAAGACCAGGTAACTACCACTAACACTTTAGATTACTATAGAGGACTTGAAAGGCCCAGCTACAACTTTGCAGATGAATCCCTTACAAAAATTTCCCGAAAATACACTCTCAAGTCTATGAAATTCACTGAAGAATAAGCCCCAAAACCACCCTATTAGTTATCATTCAACTCCAAAGATACTGAAAGGGGTTTTGGGGTTTTGGGGTTTTGGGGTTTTGGGG